CCCCCCCCCCGTCACCGCCATGATATTCCTCGCCATCCCCATCCCCACCTCATGTTCCGCATCGTCCGCCTATTATTCATCATCAGTGTCATCATCCAACTACTCATCCGTCTCTTCGCCATCCCCATCGTCATCACCAGCGTGGTTACGAACGCCACCATCACCCTCACCATCATCCATCGCATCGCCATCGTCACCCATATAGTCACATGCATCGCCACCTGTCAGATCCGCATCGCCATTGCGATCCTCATCGTCGCCACCCACATCAGCATCACCTGCCTCATAGATCAACTCCATAACATCGTTCACACTAGTCACAAAACCAGCAATGCCATCGTCACCATCACAGTCATCGTCATCAGTACAGCGGCATCGCCACCGTCGTCAGCATCACCATCACACGCACCATCACCACCACTGCCATTATCATCATCAACACAGTCACCATCATTCGATCATGGGTTCGATATCGCATCAGCGTGTTAAGTGCCCCGCCGTCTCGCAGTGCAGCGCCTGGATCGCTTCCGACGCGTCGTCGAACAGGATCCACGGGGGGCCGATCTGGATGGCCTTGGAGACGATGCGGGCTGCCTGGGAGGACGGACAGTCGCCGCCACCACGCCGCCAGCCTCTCCCCAGATCGTTCCCAACCTGTCTGAGAGCACACCGCTCACCAGCACCACCATCATCATCATCATCACCACCACCACCACCATCAGCATCACCGTCCTCATCTTGATGCACCCGTCTCCCTCCTTATCCGCAGCATCACCACTAGCACCAGCACCATCATACCTCTAGTCCACACCACCCCTCGTCATCATCGTCATCATCATCATCATCATCGGCATCTGCCCGCTCCTCCATCTCATACACCGTCATACCGCGGCACCCCACCATCATCAATACATTCCCCGCTCCCCCACCCGCCGTCGTGACATTCAGTGCCACCGTTCGCGCCTGTCGCCAGCCCAGGACCCCTCCGCCGTTGAGCCAGGAGTCCGCCCCACGGGGCGGTAGACGCCCTTGACGTAGACCTGGCGCTTGTCCTCCTTCGTGCGGGTCCGCTTGTCCTGGGGCGGCGGCGGCGGCACATCCCCATCGCCCACCATGCACATCCCCGGATCCCCCTCGCCCCCCCCCCCCCCCCCCCCCCCCCCCCCCCCCCCCCCCCCCCCCCCCTTTGCTTTCCGTCGGCACATCGGCCCATCGGTCCTCGGGCCATGGGCCCATCGGCCCTCCTTACCACGTCTCCCCCAGGGTTGTGCACGCTGCGTTTCTGTTGGGGCCCAGTGTCCATGACTGCGCCGAACTCGCCTTTGGCCCAGCTCGCCCTGAAATCCTTCTTTTTGGCGGTGCTGCCCTTGCCCTTGACGGCGTCGCACTCGGCGCGCAGCTTCTTCCCCGCGGGCGCGTCAGCTTCTTTAGCACGTTGCCATTTAGCTGCTGCCACCTTTTCAAACTCGTTGGTACACTGCCTGTGCTC